CCCTTATTCATAATGTGGTTTCCAGGATGATGGGATTTAGTGAAGAACCAGGAATAATTCCAAGATTTTGTGAAGATCTTTTTGCCCAAGTAGTGAAAAAACAAACCCAAGAGGTATGTTTTCATGAATCTGAAAGCTTCATATCAGACTAGAAAATGTCAAATCAAGTTCAAATCAGAGTCATGCCATTAAGGGCATATTTAATGGAAGATAGAATTCTAACTTCTAGATTGCTCTTCTTTGGAACAGTGGTATGGAGAAAGGGAAGTTGGAGACTCAGAATCAATTCCACCTGGTGGACAGTGGCGTCATCTGTTCCTTCTTTTCTACTTTTCTCTGCTGTATTTCTTTTGTGTATGTATAGTAGCTTACAGTGTGGTAGTTATGTGCCATTATATGTGTCTCTGTGGTCAGACAGGCGCACCGACTTAACTAAGGACAGCAGGCATAAACTTTTGACAATGTGAAGCAGAAAGAGCAGTAAAACTGAAGGGTTGTTTTTGCAGTTTTTGGCCAGGGCTGGGTTTGAACCCGCCACCTCCGGCATATGGGGCTGGTGCCCTACTGTTTAGAGCCACAGGCACTGCCCCTGTATTTGACTTTTAAAGTCCTGCTTTCTCCACTATTCTACACCTGAACAGGCTGTGTGGGCTTCCCTTTTCACTTACTCATTTATATAACACATTCAGCAAGTATTTACTGAGTATCTGCTGTTGCCAGGCTCTATTAGGCTAACTTTTTTCTACCTCAAATTTGCTTAATCATAAGAATCACCAGCAGTGTGGCTGGTGTATGTGTGTGTGTGTACGTGTGTGCAGGTTCATATGCACTTGCCAAAAATCTCTTCTGGAGATTGAGTCAGTTGGTTTGGGGTAGAGCTTGGGATTTTTAAAGTCCTATGCTTTATCTCATAACTCTTATGATAAGGGAAATTGGGGAAATATTGCACTAGATTAGGGGCATAGAATTAAAAGGCCTAGTCATTATAGTCAGGAGAGTATCACATGCTTCAGGAGAGTATCACATGCTTTTTGGCCATTTTGTGTAAATAGAGAAATGTCTATTTTAGTTCTTTGCCTATTTTTAAATTGGGCTGTTTGTTTTTGCTGTTGGTTGTAAGAATTCTTTTTTTTTTGCAGTTTTGGCTGGGACCGGGCTTGAAACTACCACCCCTGGTATATGGGGTCGGCGCCCTACTCCTTGAGCCATAGGCGCTGCCCAGAATTCTTTATATATTTTGGATTCCAGACCCATATCAGATACATGATTTGCAAAATGTGAAGAATTTTAAAATAAATTACGTGCTGTTTTTATTCCTACTAGGTCAGGTATCACCTTGAAATGAGCTTCTTTGAAGTATATAATGAAAAAATTCATGACCTTCTGGTTTGTAAAGGTGTAAATGGGCAGAGAAAGCAACCGGTAAGATTAAAACAATCTGTTATTTGTTATTTTTTGTTCTTATGAATGAATATAATTATGAGTTCTCTGGGTGTTAATAGCTTAAATTTTTATAAAATTCTGTTGTATGGTGGCAAATGCTTGGAATCTATAGGGTAACTGCATCATTATTTAGAAGAAAGGCTGAACATTATCATTAGTAGAAATTAAATGAGTTATTAAAATCCAACCCCTTTGTTTTAACCAAGAATTGTATAAAAGTTAAAATATTTGTTCCAAGGTTTAGTTGGACCATATAGGTCAAACATCAAATCCCAAATAGTCTGTAAGCCAAACAACAGTATAAATTTTAAAAATTGCATTTTTATTATAGAACGTTTCAGTAGATTATTATTATTATTTATTTTTAGAGACAGAGTCTCACTTCGTCTCCCTCAGTAGAGTGCTGTGGTGTCACAGCTAACAGTAACCTCCAGCTCTTGCGCTTAGGGGATTCTCTTGCCTCAGCCTCCCGAGTAGCTGGGACCACAAGTGCCTGCCACAATACTCGGCTATTTAAGTGGATTATTTATTTAGCAAATCGATATTTTATAAATCTGTGAAATAAAATATTTTACAATGATGTAGCTTAAAAAAATTGCTATTAGAGGGATGCTCGTGTGGCTCAGTGGGTGAGGCACCGGCCCCATATACCAAGAGTAGTGGGTTTGAACCCGGCCCTGGCCAAACTGCAACAAAAAAATACCCAGGTGTTGTGGTGGGCACCTGTAGTCCCAGCTACTTGGGCGGCTGAGGCAAGAGAATCACCTGAGCCCAGGAGTTGGAGGTTGCTGTGAGCTGTTATGCCATGGCACTCTACTGAGGGTGATCAAGTGAGACTGTTTCTAAAAAAAAAAAAAACCAAAAAAAATTGCTATTAAAGTTTAAAATTTGTAATTTTGCAAAGGACCTTGAAGCACAAGAAACAAAACAAATCTAATGAAGTCAATTGCCAGTTTTACTTTCTGAATGTGGTGCAGTTTGCTATATAACATCAAGAAACTGAAACAAGATTTGACATTTTCTTGCATGGCTTCTATATGTTTTAAAATTTCTGGTCATAGAGTTGAACATGTATAATAATAAAACCATGAAGAAAAATGTAAATATCTCAAATTTAATGGATATGTTTTAGAGAGATTTTAAAGTGAATAAATAGGCTTGGCGCCTGTGGCTCATGTGGCTCAAGTGGCTATGGCGCCAGCCACATACACCTAAGGTGGTGGGTTTGAATCCAGCCTGGGTCCGCCAAAACAACAATGACTGCTGCAACCAAAAAATAGCCATGCATTGTGGTGGGCGCCTGTGATCCCAGCTACGTGGTAGGCTGAGGCAGGAGACTCGCTTGAGCCCAGGAGTTGGAGGTTGCTGTGAGCTGTGATGCCAGGGCATGGTACCCAGGGGGACAGCTTGAGGCTCTGTCTCAAAAAAAACAAGTGAATAAATAGTAGCTGCTGCAAGATTTAAGAATGAAAAACAAGGCTGGACACCTGTAGTTCAGTGGTTAGGGCTCTGGGGCTGGTGGGTTTGAACC